ATATAGTTTTGAACGCACGCGTATCATGTGTACAGCATGCTAATTATTTACATATGATGACACGTCTAGTTTCAATAAGTTTGCAATATTTAATAGAAGGTAAATCGAATCCAGCTGAAATCAACCTACGGTGTCTCACCTGTTGTTTCATATGATTAGCGGAAAGAGTTTTCAATTCACGTTTGTAAAATGATTTTCGTGATTTAGCTATTAGCGTTCATTTGGATCCGTGAATATAGTGAAGGTGGCGTTCAGTTCGCGCAGGACAAACGACGCAACCGCTAATTAAAAACACTGTTAGTACTACTACTTTACACAGCAAATATTATATCCTTTTTTTATTCATTCTTAATGCTTCTAAAGCGTTTATGCGCTCATATATATTTAATTCGAGAACGCGAACGTCATTCGCCTCAAGGCATCTGACATTCTCCTACTATTATAATCGTGTAATTCTGGCTTCGTTAAACATTATAACCAACAAGTGACCTTTTCCCTACGCACTCTCCAATGAAAAAACAGAAGACCACGTCAAGTCCGACAATAGTGTTAATGGTAGCTTCTCTCACCGTCAGGTTTTTCCACGCGCCAGTTCGTGCCGAGCGCATCAGCTGACCGAAGCCTGAAAACACCTATTTAAATAAAAAGAGCAATAAATAAGACTACGTATATTGTAGTCAACTTTCAACAACTTCGCGCAATCTGCTTTCAGAGTTAATTCATAACTAAGAATTTTAATCGACGATAGAGTGCCACATGTGCCGAAACTCTACCAGGCATTTGAAGCGTCATTAACAGAATTACGAGGCACGAGGAAAACGTAAACAAATAAAAACAGTGTTCACATATTTCAATATACGTTTGTTTTACTCTAAAAATGTCAAACCTATACTTCATTCTGCTAGAATTATGGTCGAATGAAATGATATTTGTCACTATAGTAGTTAAATCTTTTATTCTACGCATATATTATTAAAAATATCAAACAAAGCAGAGCGATACATTGTTATCCGTACTTTCACATATTTCTTTTATTGATTCATATCAGCCCTACCTGAGACAATTCTCCAGGAGAAGGCGGTACAAGCTCGACACGAGCGTACTTCAGGAAAGTGCCGATTTTTGGCTTGAGCACCGAAACGGCTCGAGCCACAGACATCTGTAAGATAGAAAAAAAAGAGCACAAAAGCATACACACATAATTTACGACTGAAATACATTGACTAAAAAAATATTTTGTTGGCAGCACATATATACACACAAACCTTCTAAACAGGTGAAACAAGTGAAAAACAAATTCATGAATAATAGCAAACGCTTGCAGAGTGCAATGTTCATACTTAAATGGTGTTTACCTAAACTTTTATATAAGTTTATATAAATTTTCTTACAAAGGTGATAATTATCCTCGCTTTTACCGGTATATTTAGTACAGAGATACGAAAATGATTGCTTGGTTTGGCACAGTAGCAACAAACAAACAGACTTTTGTGGTATTCACACAATGTCGTAATCATTAAGATCTATTCATGACAAGAACAATTCAAAACGGACATTTGGGTTTTTGCCTAAAGCACAGATCGACTAAAAGTTTATCATATCTAATTAGAATTTTTTCATACAGAAAAAACGTGAGGTTTCACGCATTCAAATTTCCAAAGTTACGACTACGCTCTTCAGAAATAACTGCAAAAACAATGTGTTCGACCATGTTCCCACGTGAGTAGTACAGAGTAGCTACTTATTAAAAAACGCGTTTTCGACTTCTACAATTCTCGACATGAAGAGAATCGCAATCTCTATGCTATCAGTTAAAATGCGTTACGTTGGTCTGATATAATTTCTTTATCAACATCACAGGGCTCATGCTGCTACCTCTAGTGGGAAAGAAACACCAGGAAGTGCAAAATCGCTAACATCATTAGCAAAGTTTATTCGTTAAAATCCTAAGATGTATAAAAATAGAGATAACTCACTCACTTTTGCAACTTTTTAAAGAGAAATTTCCGATTGCCGAATCTAACTGACCTTCCGATCTCAGCAGGGACGATGGGGTGGTCGTCTGCGGATGTTTGCAAATACGCGTGGGTCAGCTTTTATACCCTAAGCCGTTTGAACAGCACAGGGGAAAGTGCGCAATAATTCAAAACTACATGCCTAAGGGGGTAAAAATGCGATTAAAATAAATCATGATGTATGCATGTATATCACGATTTGTTTTACTGTAGAGTAATCTAAAAGATTTGCAACCTTCCAAACCTACTAAACTATTTTGGTACTCAACATTGAACTTAACAGCCTGGTTTATTCGAAAGTCTTGAAAGGATTTTGTTTCGTATTTTTAAAAATTCAAATGAGCTTTTTGACACTTGTCACGTTTCGTGTAAAAGTTTCTCAATGTTTCGCGTAGAAGACCTGGTTTAGTCAAGAGTAATAAGTAAATCTATCCTACTCTTTTCCAAATCCGGCCGCACACACGTAGGTACACCTTTCACCTAGCTCATATATCAGCCTATCTGCTATGATACATTTGTGTACGACTCTGGCAATTAGCATAGTTAGAAGTATTTCGATAAGGTTTTTTCGGCCTTTCTGCAGTACTCTATTGTAGGCAGGATATATGTCCTCACTCTTCGAATGATAACAAAGCTTACAAGTGTTAATTTATAGGACAATCAACAGGTAATATATGTGGATAAATCTCTCAGGCGCTCGAACACACAGGCCTGCTACTAAATAAATGTTCTGAATTTTACATTCGATACTGTCGTTAAGACAGCTGACTAATATTTGGTCGCCGAAACCTACCCATCCGCTGAAAATGATCAAAATCGTTAAAATCGTTCTCGATATTGTCAACACGAATATATATATCGTCGTCGTTCAGTATGAAGCGTGATATAACGAATTCCACGTAAGCATTATGATTTTATGACTTTATTCTGTTATTTGAACAATAGCTGATGTACACCGCTTCTGTAGAAGTCTGGCTACGAGAGTCGTGGAGTTCCCAAAAATCATTTCTGCATCATGTCTAGATTTGAGTAGTTTCTCTATTAGGAAGTTGTTGAGATTTCAAAGAAAGCGGTGACCTATAAAAGCAATATCTAGTGAAGTGTCGTAAAGTGTTGATTGACAGATAGCCTGCGACTGCTGTCTTTGCATTTTTGCTACCATAGCTCTCGCGCTGTGAAGTCGATCATTACAGTTTGACAGAAGTGGCTTACATCTGTGAGTTTTTCAGTATTTGCGCTCGTTGGCAGTACCGTGCCGTGTGCCGTGATTGACGAGCCCGAACTCATATAGTAGACATAGTAGACCACACCCACATTAGACCGCCAAACGAAATACCATACATTTTTGCAGCAGTATATTATATACAATATTCCGTCGGTTCAATTGTATCTACGCACTGACGTGACTACCTGCCATTACCGTAACTAGTCAAATCACAAGTCACAATTCAATGCAAGAACGGATCATTATTGCAACATGGGAGCGAAGAAAAGTGGGCGTCTCTACGTTTGATTTTGTATTAATTTGTTCAATTCTTATATTATTGATTTACGTGAGGTAAAAAGGTTCCCGAAACCCGTTAAACTCATGGCATGGACGTTTCTAGTGGTAGAACCTGAACCGAATACGAGATTTCTACAGTGAGCATTCTCTGCCGCTGTAGTCCCAAAATGGAAGTCGCGATCGCAAACCACTTAGGATTTTCTATGTCTCAGGAAAGCTTGCCTGTCGAAAGCCCGATTAGCGATATACGAATGAAGGGTCTCTCTCGGAAAGGAGTACATTTACACGCCGAGTATAAAAGAGTGTTGCGAGATATTGTGCCGCTTTAAAATGGCGTCACTTTAAAGTGTGCGATTAATGTTTGTCATGTTTTATGCTAAATCAGGTTTTCAAGATATAGCATATATTCGACTAAAGACGTTTTGGAAGATCTGCTAGGATCGTTATAAAACAGCTATCACTGCACTAAACAGACTCCGTGGTTCTAATACTATAGATAGCCAAATTGAAGAAGCTTCATCGTGCATCCATAATAGGAAAGTTCCACCCAAAATGCTAGTAGAAAAACTCGAGCTATAGAGAATATTAATTCTGTAAATCGACTGCACTCTACACTGATTATCACGATATACCTTAAGAACATGGCTGACACGGCCCACGCATGTTCACTGCTTCCAAACTGGGTGCAAACTAAACGTCATTTCAATCATTTTAACCATTCTATATTACAGTCATTTACACTATTTTAGTTTCGTCAGCATGTTCGATTTACGTCACGTATTTTTCGTGTCGCTCACGCCGGTGTAACTTATCAATTTACGGCCTGTATCAATCAAAAGTAATGCATTCTTCAGCTAATGAAAAGCAACAACATATTGCTCTATAACAATCAATTTTATTAATTCGATTAGTCGTAGTTTTATCATGTCTTCCCTGGATACCGCATTGCGTAATTCTGTGCCCTTTATTCTATGGCAGAATTTATCGGCATGTCCTGCGAAAAGCAGAATTACACGGTATTAGCTTATCACTAAACAACTATTCGAATCCTACATGTCGAGTCGTGTGAAGTCCTAATCTGTTTGTGACGTGGTATATTTTGAAATATACTGAAATGGAGTAGTTACATTTTATCTCAATATCGCGTATTTTTAGAAGGAATATTCCACTACCATCAAAACCGGAAGTCGCAATATGACTGCTCCAACAATCACCATTTACCAAACAATTGAGAACAACTAGCAAACGTCAGGGATACTGATTTCGGACTAATTTTTTTAAAAATTGAATTTGACCAAAGGTACTATTTAAAGGGCTTAGTATTCACGATACTGATTTTACCATTGTCCTAATATGAGTGGGTACTCCAAGTACTTATAGTGAGTAATTAGGCTTGCAGTGCTCAAAATGGCAAAAGTCGGAGAATCTGCCTAGCAGCTATACGCAGTCTCGTAGATTCAAGCTTTGAACATTCGGCGTGCATATCGACGTATACCGGTTAAGGTGAGGGTTAAGGAGCGGGATTGTTTATCCATTGGAAAGTTTCAAGCCATATAAAACACTGTATATATACATACATATATATAAACCTATAAAAAACTGCAACACAACAAGGCGCATTCGTCTACCAGGACATTAGGTTGTCTTCGCTCTCAACTCAATGTTCATGATAGTTCGGTAAAGCCATTGACGACAGGCATGTCATACTTACGCACCATCACTGACAAGTCATAAGGTATTCATCAGTGTGCCGCTGTTAACTGTTCGGGTGTGCTGAGTTTTGCGAGGAATCGATTTCAGCTTTTGTTCTTAGAAGTAATGCCCTTTAGAAACTGCAAGTTCCACTCGAATCGCTGGAGGAGTGTGGATGATCCTGCTCAATGAAAATTTACAGCAGCACGGTTTTTATTAAAGTTAAACAACGATTCCGGTTAAATAAAAATGCCCAATAAAAATGCATTATTATTATTATTCTAGTTGCATTCTTTATTATTTACAACTAGGACGTATTTAGCGAAAGGTCCCCTATGCTTATAGTGTCCAACTTCCACAACATTAAGAGTTATCGTTGGACAATAATTTATGGATGGGTAATAAGGACAGACAGTATCTACGTGTTATTTTTCTTACTTGTGTGCTATTTTCAGGTGACTAGTGGAAGATTTGTTGAGAATAATGAGCAACCCCAGGGGAAGTCATAGTTTTTATGCGTACTTCGTAGAGTAAATGTATTAAACTAGGTCATTGTTAAATGGCTGACAGGTGTTTTGTAATGATCTGAATATAAACGCTCATAGTCATATTGGATAGTGCTGGCCTAAGGGTGTCTTGTTCAGGAAAATCGAATACATCCGCATTACTCGTCGGTAAAGAAAGGAAAACGCACCACCAAATATGTAACATAATAGTTATAGTGCCTTGATTCTTACGGATAAATTTAACCAAATATAAAGAATAAAGATACACTTTGTGACAGTCTTCCAATCAAATGAGTACCATGGGATAACATAATTGAATTGATTAAATGCCTGCAATAATGTCACACGTCGGACTATTAGTAGTGAGATTATTTACAAAGAAAAGATTTCTATTTATGTATCGGGTTAACTCTAACTCTTTTACGATGGCTGGCATTTCTCAAGGTCTGTAGCCTTGCTAAAGCTAGAACACTTTGTAGAACCAACTCTTAGCTCATATCGCTCTATGGCATAAGTTGCAAGGCATACAGAAGTAAAGGGCTTGATGAAGCCATCTGCTTAGACTAAACATGAGTAGGGGCTACAACGTATTTTCTATTATTTTTTCACACTTTTTAGAGCATTAGAGAATATCTATGTTTCAACGCAGTTCGGCTGCTCAATTGTTACTGAGTCCGTCAGAGATCAATTGTAAAAAGGCTACATACAGGACGATTAGAATAATATTTTATATTCGGCGTGTTAGCTTCTTATGACGAACAAAATGTGCCGACGGGTTGACTCGTAAGTTTTACTGATAGTATAGAAGCGTAAAACGGTAACAACACCAGCGATCTCAGACTAACTAGGATGCCTTCGACTGGGGGATGATTAAAATATCGGTTCTTTGTTGCTCACTTTTAGCAGCCAACCTCCTTTCAAAAGTATCAAACTCACCCTGTTTGGCAACCTTTGTTCTGCTCGGCGCAAAATTTCAAACCTTTCAATTTCTTCATGACTCTTTGCCAGTGGTACAGGTACAGTTGCGAAACGAACCCTGTTCGGTGGCGCCCTTCTGTTCCTACCCGCGGTTTTTTTAAGCACGCTTTTTACCGATGCTGAGGGCAGTGAAGACTCATCTTCCCGGCGTAGAGTTTGGCGTCGCTTTGACATTTGGTCGACTCGAAGATCCTTTCAATGGCCTGGTCTTAGTGGAGCAGCAAGGTAAAGCAGCTCGCTAGACTAGATCTGTACGAAAAGTCACGGCAATAATTGGTATCCGATATGTGCTGGATAATTGAGTGCGGTCGTGGGGCACGCCTGATTGGTTAGACATGATTGATGCGAGGAAAAAAGAAGTACCCCAAGTGCGTTGTCAGTAGGATCACTTTGTTAGTGATTTTTATTGATAATAACAAGGATGCGTCGTGCGTATTTTTGTTATAGTGTCACATTATAACTCTTCTAAATTGATGAAGGGCATTGTTGTGATCGATAGCTGTCACTTAATTGAGACTGGGGAAACCTAAGTCTGGGTTATTTCATTTACGAACAAGAAGGCTCGATCAACTAACATATTTTTTGAGATAACATTGTGGGAGCATAAAGCGTAATGTAGGCACAATGACGAAGCGTGAGGGAAAACATCGTATTATGGCTTCACCTTGTGCACTTTGAGGTTTCCAGATTATACAAGTGGTAACGTAAAAGATATGTTTACATTTAGAATAGGTGTAGTTTCGTTTCACGGAGGATTTGGCATTACTGTATGGAACGAGCACCATAAAAGTTAGATCAGTTGCAGAAGGTATGGCTTGCAGTGCGTGCCTTTCAGAGTTTCGCGTGAATATCTGACAAGCAGGTCGAGACTGCTTCTGCCTGCAGCACGATAATGTTGTCTATAAGTACAAAATTGGACTAGAGACTTTTTCTTCTATTGCCAATCCCCATAATTGTAGGTATAGAAATACATTTCACTCGATAGCTCCATGGCGTCTAACTCAAAATAAGGGGACGCATTAAATAGGTGATCATGCGAAATATAAGCTTAAAATCCAATGATGGCTGGTCTTTTTACATTTCTGCTGTTTCATGTATATTTTACTAATATCTTTATATGTTTATAATATTTTTGTAATATTTATCAATATCTTTATATGTTATATAAAAGTATGTTTTAAAACTGTGCATTAAAATATTTCTCTTGGCGATGCCTAAGAACTACGAATTCTCCATTTGTTTATTTGTTGATTTACGCAAGAAGACAATGAACCATTAAAAGATAAAGGATTTAAAAAATATTTGTAATGGTAGGTTGATTTGAGCTTGCCAAATCTTTGAAGTATAACCAGTTTGTTTTTGTGACTACCATATGATGAATACATCTGGTCGTTGCGTACAATGTTTATAGATGTTAGAATAATCGAAGTTAAAGGCAAGCCTTACCTTAGACTTTTAGTACCGGAAAAGAACCCGTATATTTAACATATGTCAAAAGCTTGGTGCATGTAGCTAACTTCTAATGTTCTCTCAATTGATATGACTTTTCCTACATTTTTTTTTCATTTACATGGGCTTGAAAGACTTCAATTAGTTTCTAGATCTATTTTTGTTAATGTTGAATTGAATAATGAATCGTAACCGTTGTGTGATGCACCCAGTAGCGCCGTGTGTCTTGCCCTAGGCACCGCCATTTGTTCAGGGTTCATTTCACGGAGAACCCCTAAAGAAAGATCAACTTCGGTGTAAGCTGGCGTTTGACTTTTGTTGCTACTGCATGGCTAAGTCCCACAACTCGTCGCACCTTTTCTATCTGACACTCAAATAAGTAATACATGAATTAGTATTTCGTGTATTGAAGTTTTTATTGCAACGATATAAGGGTTTGTACGGTCATATGTCTGTTATATAGGTAACCAAGTTGCAGCAGCTGAACACTGGTAGCTTTTTTTCGGGGCATCTCACAGGTCAATATGAGTGGCAGCATGTTCCAAGATAAGAGCAACTATCAGAATGTTTTTACTTAGCGTTCTGGTATAGGAGGCATCAGTCATTGTTGATTTGAAGCTATTTTCATCGTTCAATTTATTCAAGAATCTTCGAAGCATACTTGGCAAGGTTTGCGAAATTCGCAGTTCAACAATTAGTCAAGAGACCTGATTTAAGTGCAATAGTGTCCAAGGTATCGCATAGAAAAATTTACTTAGACAAAGGCAAAGTGTACGAAATGTCACGCGAACGATTCTCCTCGTTTGAGGGTACACAAATTAAGTAATTAAAGTAGGTTGCTGTCTCAAAATCTTTTGCCATCGATGGCTTTTCAATGAGAGTCGGAAAGTGCATACTTTTCGTCCGAAGAAGCTTCAGGAAGTCTAGAAAGCGCTGATGTGTTTATTAATTAAAAAAAAAGAAACTCTTTTCGCTACAACGTATCCAAACCACCCTTCTGTACAGGAACTATTCATTTATATACTGACCGTTTCCGTTTTCTGTCACTCTTACGAACCGGAGCAGCAAAAAAACCCTTTGCAGAGTACTACTTAGTGGAGCTTTGATCCTTTTGATTAGCTCTTAAATTGTCACTGTTACTGAGATTGTTCTTTTAACCGTTTCGAGCGAGTGCTTTCAAGATTGTCACAACGATTTAGATTGCCTTGAGAAGCTTACACTCCTTCGTACACTTGTATTACGAATTATATAATGTTTTGCTACAATCTCATAATGAGAGAATTCATATTGCAATAATTTTTTTGCATTATACCTAGCATTATACCTGCGAACACCTAGTAACAGTTCAAAATCGGTGAGGGATTTCGTCCTAACTTTAGATAACGTCCTAAATTAGAATCAGAATAGTTTCTCATATATAAAATCTTTTAGTATGAAACGGTCAACTTAAACATGATCACATCAAAACAGATTCCGATATGCAGCTGAGACAAGCCAAACTGAATTAAAGACAGAAAATAAAAACGGTAATATCTGAAACGGAGTACCTTGTATGTGCTTGAGTCGCCAGAGACGATTGGCGGAAGTAGATGGCAAGAATTACGTCATAAATATTAGCAACTGCGTTGGATAGATCCTTTACTTACAGTTGCTGATACTTTATCCTATACGATCCTATATGAAATCGGTGAGCAACGAATCCATATTCTAAAGGAAAACCTTGAACCAAATGAATGAATGTAGGAGGCGTACACATCAATTAAATAAGGCTCAAGGCCAACAGCAAGTGATGTGCAAAAGGTTCTAACGCGGATTCATGTCAAATACGTAAGCTCAAACGATCAGGTCTGAACGACTGAGTTTTCATAGCGTACGACGTTTTGTCAACATCACTCGCTAGCGTTAATAAGGGAACTCTACTAAAATGAAACCAAGGCATCCGTTAACCATTATGGCGCCCCGCAGAAAGAGCGGCTTTTGTTACGCTATGATAATAGGACGGCTGTTTTTGACGGTTCAAGTAATCGATGAGCACGTTCAGTCACTAAGCTAGCGACTAATTGAACGAATTAAGCTGGTAAAGCAAAATCAGCCCTTACTTAACAGCCTTTCGACGTTGGAACTGGAGCCGGTCGTCCCCTTATAATCGTCACTATGTCATTGGGCGAGACCTGACCAAGGGACACGTCTTCGTCATTGAGGAAAAGAGAGCATAAACGTGAAACGACCATGTGCCGCCATGAAAGGAAACACTCGTCGTGAGATTCATTCTAGACATACTGAACTTGAGGGATGCTCCTTGATTCAACATTACGGCTTGCAGGTCGCTTTAATGTACAGCCCGTTCTTTAAGTCCACGTAATGATGACCATTGAGTGTTATCTGGGCTCGCAAAGCATCAGCGGACAAGACCTCGGATAGAGTGAAAGTTTGCCTCAACAAAAATGCATAGCTTCTGCAGACAATCCTTATTTCGACTTGTCCTACCCCCCCCCCCCCCCAGCCAACGTTATCTTTTTGTGTTGACACATTCGTCTCGTAAAAAAGTGATGGACCAAGATAAAAAGCCGCATGACATTCAAGTCTAAGATTAACGAGTAGTCTTGCAAACAATGAGAAACATGGGATCGTTCAACTACGTTGTACATAAATAAGCATAAATCATCCTCTCTGGCTACTACTTGCCAGTGTAATCAACGGGTATCAACTGCAGTGGTACGGTGAAGCCAAGGTGATATTAATAGAGGCACGTCACGCATATATATCAGAGGAGCGTTATATGAAAAATATAGGACACCAAAAAAAAGGCGAAAAAGCTTAAAAGTACTTACAGGCGGTTGCCGATAAGTCCCGATGTCAACTCGGAATACAACCATTCTCGTTAGTATTTCTATATATGTTTATAAAAAGTACGAAATTAGCGCCAACTGATTATAGTATTCTCTTGGCTATCTCCAGATAAGATTTATTAAAAAATAGATCTACGATACTACATGTAAGTGTCCAACGTCGACCAGCATCACTGACAATCGATATATGCATGCGTTGACAATGATCATGAAGGAGTACATTTTTCGCCATGTCTAATGGTGCCGATTCCTGCTGCGTGCATGCGGTTAGGTCGTAGATCCTAATTGAAGGCCACCGAGGCTCCCCGTGGAAGCGCTCCTATGTTGTGCGATTGTCGAATGAATTGAGTTACTATGGCTAACATTAGCGGGGCTGCAATGTGTCGGTGGTGTTATTTATCTTGCTTGCTTTCTGTTAAGATAATATTGTGATGGGCCAGATTCAAATACGAATACATTGTCGGCAGGAAGTTGCACGCCGGTGAACTTGTTATATATATATTATATAGTATGATATTAAGAGTTTTCAATCTCTAGCTGACTCGTAAGTTCTACTCCACATACATTGAGTCATACCACAGAGGTCATCTAAAACGGGACCGCTGGCATAATTGAGCCTGTATCGAAATCCGCGCTTCCATGGTCAGTTCCGACGTAAAGTACCATTTGCTAAGTTTCTTTCCATCGGCTTTGGCCTACCTAACATATGAACCAACAATGTGTACGCTCGTTTTGCATGAAGTTCTCTATTTGTTACAATGGTTATGGCCGCAATTATTACCCCCGTCTTTACACCAAGACGGGGGTAATAGTTGCTATACCGTTAGAGCTGCCGTCACTATCATACGAGTTATTTCCTACGTGAGAGTCGTTACTCTCTAGGCATTAGCTGACATTTCATTCATTCACTGGTTTCTCATACGGTAAAGTGTACAAAAAGTCCCAGTTATTCCAAATACAAATCGAATCGACGGTAACATTGGTGTTCATACCGAGTTAGTGTACTATCCGGAAGTATATGCTATAGATTGTACGATATCAGATTTATATACGCTTGTTTAGTGTAAGTGCCAAATGTTTGTTGGAGCCGGTTCCACCCACCAGGTG